GTGTACGTGTGTGTAGCACGTGTGTATAAGGTACTAGCTTACATACATTTAAACATGCGGAGATTTAAATAGATATTTTATGCTACCTCCCTGGCTCGTGGCCCGAGCCCGCCCTCCACATGTTTAAAAGTAGTCACCGTAGGGGTTTAGGGGTTTGGGGTTTAGGGTTTGAGGGCTTAGAGGGTTTAGGGTTCAGGGTTTGGGGTTATCCACGTAAACGCCTGGTTGGGCTTGCGTCTGTCAGGGATTGGGGTCTGTGATTTTTGGGATTTGTGCCCGAGGTTTTGAGGTTTGGTCCTCGGGCTTGAAGTCTTACAGCATGAGCTAAATGGGAAATACCCCATGTCCTTCCGGACAGGCAGGCTCAAAATCAAATCCCAACCAAACTTATCTCCTTGATGTAGCTTCCGAGAATCAAAGGGCTCCATTCTGGGATTCTCGGGCTTCTAGGAGCCCTTGCATTTCTAAGCCCCCAAGTCCATATGCTCGACTTACATCCTTCGCAGCGTAATGAGCACCTAGGACCTAGGATAGGAATTCCTGGGTTTAGGTTCTTGGATTTCGGAGTGAATTCCGAATTGCAGAGGTGTGTATGTTTCGATTGCGGTTTTTGGACGGGTGATTTCTGCAAGTCACTCCGGAATTCAGTGTAGAGAAAGACACGCCTCCGGAATTAACTTTCAAACTCGCTCGGAAACTCACTCTGGAAAGCAAAACAGTCGGATTTGACCTGTCGCCATGCTTCCTACGTGCGAAAGATGTAATGCTAGAAGCCGGCTTGATCTCTCTTGAACCCTAGACCCTAAAGACTTCAGGCCATCAGGAGAACAGGAGTTCCGGTGCATTGCTCAGTATAATGAGACGATCGCTAGCAGGTCATACATACATACATATGTACGTACGTACATACGTCCATACGTACATACCTATGTAGGGAGATGTGTGTGTATGCATGCATATATAAGTACATAACATGTATATATATATATATATATGTATATCTATATATATATATATACTTCTATACTGTATATATTAATGTATGTATAAAAGTATATCAGTATATCTTAGTATGTATTGATTTCTTCAATCTTATATCCTAAGGAAAACGCAGTTTTATCTTCATCCAAAGCAGATCCAGTTGAGGGGTTGTGGTGCTCACGATGACCGTGCCGACGACGGCGGAGGTGTTGGCAATGATACTACGGTTTAGGGTTTAGGGTGTATATAGGGTTTAGGGTTTAGTGCATCATGGTGAACAGCGACAGGAGAACTAGCAAGTAAAAGATGTTGCATCTGCTATCTGTGCTGCGAGTTGTGTGGTACCTGTGATTGTTGCACTTATGTCTGGTGCTGCTTCTTGCACGTTGAGAAGGCCGGCGCAGCTACCGCTACCGCTACAAGTGATACTAAGCTATGGTAACCATAAGCAGTTGTGATGGCATCTGGGAAGAGCTGCGTCCTGAAATGCTGGAATCCGCAGCCGTAGTACTAGTCACAACAAACCTTCCAGCAACGCATGTGCGATGGAGGTGGCTAAACACACCGCATTGTAACTTATTGCAGCTCATTTGTGCTGGAGAATTTCCAGCGTGAGGTCGTCCGGGTCCGCTCCCTCGTAGCGCCCCAGAAGCTCCTGGCCGGGGGAGGTTTAGGGTTTAGGGTTTATAATAGGGTCGAGGGATTTAGGAGTCGGGGAGAGGCCGGTGTCCGTGGAGTCGTTGGTTTGCAGGTGGGTGGTGGGCAGATCTGAATAAATCAAGCTGCGATGTTGCACTTCAAGGAGTATTCAAGTCCTTCTTTGAGGGGTAATTGGGGCTCTCTTCGGTTTTTCCATCAATCGACTCCAAACCTCGAAATTATTTATACACTCCGTACATTCCGGAGTTCTAGAACACTGGAGACCTTGCCCAAAAACAACTTGAACCCACACCGAGCCTACACTCACATTTGAATCTTGGGCTCTTGCTTACCCCCCCCAAAAAAAACGGTAGGGTTTAGGGCTGAGCCCCTAACTAACGGACCCTCGTGCACCTGGCTTTTGAAGAAGAGGAAGGTGGGAATGGAGTGTATGCGATACTTGTCGGCGATTGCCGAGTTTGTCTCGACATCCACCTTGAGGCTTGAAGGCTTGGAGCTTCATGGATTTTTTCCCTCTCGCACCGCTGAGAACTATGCTCACGGCGAGGTTTGCTCTGGCGTAATTGACAACTGGGTTCAACGGATTCAACTGTGCTTCAGCTCTCCGCCAATGCTGTTATGCATGCTAAAGCCTCTATTTTAGAGGATGCATGCTAAAGCTTCATGGTTTAGGCTTTAGGCTTTACGGGTTGAGGGTTCAGGGTTTGGGTTCAGGGTTTAGGGTGTCGGCTTTAGGGGTTTAGGGTTCAGGGGAGTCCAGGGTTGGGGCTTGAGGGCTCAAGGCTTGAGGGGTTCTTGGGTTGTTTCCTGACAGATGTAAACCCTAAACCCTAAACCCTAAAACTTCAGAAGCTGCCTCCAGAAAGCAGACCTCGGGTAGTTCGCTCGCCAGCTGCGCCACCTGCGGGGCTTCACAGCTTTGAGCTTTTTGGGCCTAGGGTGTTCTGCATCTCTCTAACTTTCCCTGTTTGCGGCCCTACGCTTCCGAGTCTACAAAAACCACCCAACCCCGTCAACAACACTCTCACCTCATAACCCTAAACCCTCAAACAAGCCCTTCAAACAGACACTACCTAGGTTTGGAGCTCTCCGCGCCTGGCAGCTGGAAGTGACACAGCATACCCAGAGACTCCAATATCCCTTAATTAAGGCATATACCTTAAACCATATTAGGGATCCTACTATATTTTAAGGTATATTGCTTAATTCAGTATTGGAGTCTCTGGGCAACTAGCCAGGGCTCAGAGGCTCAGATAAACTCTGTAGCAACCTCAGAAACCTAGTTCGATAGAACCCACAAGCGGAGCCTGCAGCGGCCTTGAAACCCCCACCGCCGCCGTCTGCTCAGGATTAACACTTTGGGGAAAGTAGGGGGTCCTTACCCATAGGCTCCATTGTAGTTCCTTTCTGTGATCTAGATAAAGAATCCTATAATGAAGATATCCGCGTGCAGATCCCACGACCCACCTGGCAGAACAGACTTGCAATAGGTACGCAAGGCGATGCACGCCAGACCCCCAACTGGCCCTCTACGATAGTCTAAGCCTCAACGCTGAATTGTGGATCTCTGAATAGCTAAAGACTCCGCGTTATCCACCCCCTTGTCACTGAACCTGCCTCGGGCTTTAGGCGCTGGCACGGCCCGCACCTGAGTTTTCCGTTGTTGAAAGCAATGGACTTTCTCACCTGAGTTTGGGATATTTTGGACCTGGAGCAAAATCAGGTGAAAAAGTTTTCGGAAGCTCCAAGCTGCCGTGGCTAGGGGCGCCGGTACAGGCAACACATAAGCCATAAGCCATACATGCACACTTGCTTGCATGCCTACATGCAGGCACAGTCGTTCAATCATATCCACAGTGTCTTGACCATGATGAAGCACAATCTAGGACATCCGTGATTGAAACCCGCTACATGCTTCTGAGACCTCACACGCACACAAACAAGCAAACAAACAAACAAACAAACAAGCAAGCAAGCAAGCACGCAAG